ATCAAGGGTGGGGCGTTGGTACCCTCGTTCTAAAAACGTATTAGTCATTTCAATCAATTGCCTCTCTTTGACATTCTCATCAGAGTTATTCCTCATCACCCGCAGATACTGGGCCTTTGGGAGAGAATTCTTTAAAGCTTGGGGATGGGCACTGTGTGCGTGAAGGAGGGTATTGCGATCGGTAGCTTTCGTGAACAAGCTATATTCCAGTCTGTTTGTACCAACGGATAACTCAACATCCAAATATTGGATTTTTTCTGTACTGATATTGGCCGTCATCCTTATGGGTACTGGTAGCTTGTTAAGTTCATCGACCATGTTTTGTGCTTCAATTATAGTGCCATTCCAAATAATTAAAAGGTCATCTATGAAACGATAATAACCTTGTATTAAATGGCCATATGGTAACAAGATGTTTTTCTGTTCATACACAAACATGTACGCATTAGCATACATGGGGGCCATTGCTGCCCCCATCGATGTGCCAGAAACTTGTAAATACCATTGATTTTCAAAACGAAAATAGTTGCGTTCCAAATGTAATGCCAGAATCTCCAACACAAATTCAATGGGTGGCCCTTTATACACTGTCGACGCTGTAAGCACATGTCGCATAGCCTCAATCCCATCTTCATGTGGAATTACAGTATAAAGGCTCTTCACATCTATAGTGATTAACAGGGGTTTAGTTTCCATAAATCTGATATCATTAATCTTACTTAAAAGCATGGGTGTATCTTTTATGCAAGTTTCCAGCTGTTCAACCGACTGCTTGAACAAAAAGTCAAGCCACTTGGCTAGAGGTTCTAGAAGTCCTTTAATTGCGGAGACTATTGGACGTCCCGGAGGTTTTTGGGCATCCTTATGGATTTTCAGGATGCTGTAGATAATGGGGCAATGAGGATTCTTCTGATTAAGATACTGAAATAGATCCAGATCTATATATCCTGCCCTCAAACCCATAGATAAGGTATCATGTATCACACGTTGAAAATCTAGGGTGGGGTCATGGTCCAGGGGTAAATAGACGTTTGGATCTTGATGACTTTTCAGTTCATTAGCATAGTCAGTGTAGTCCATGATAACTATACCACCCCCTTTGTCAGCGGAGCATATAATTATGGACCGTGTGTGTCTGTGTGTGTGTCAGTATATGTGTTTGTGTGTGTCTGTATGTGTGTCAGTATGTGTGTGTGTCTGTGTATGTCAGTATGTATATTTGTGTGTATCAGTATGTATGTTTGTGTGTCAATATGTATGTATGTGTGTCTGTATGTATGTCAGATTGTATGTGTGTATCTGTATGTATGTCAGCATGCATGTGTGTGTGTGTGTGTCTGTGTATCTGTCAGCATGATGTACGTGTGTCTGTATGCATGAGTATGTCTGTGTTTCTGTGTATGTGTGTGTGTCTATTTCAGTATGTGTGTGTGTGTGTGTGTGTATCAGTGTGCATCAGTGTGTATCTTTGTGTGTGTGCATTTGTGTATCTGTGTTTCTGTGTATTCTGCCTCAATGTGTATGAATGTCTGTATATCTGTATGTGTGTGTCAGTGTGGATTTATGTGTGTACGTGTAACTATGTATCATGGTGTGTGTGTGTTTACCGGTGTGTCAGTGTCTGTCTTTGTATTTACATGTGTCTCAGTGTGTGTGTCTGTGTATCTGTGTGTATGTGTATCAGTGTGTGTGGAAGTGCATATACTACACACAAATGCACACCTGCATTCAAACACCAACATTTACACACATACTCCATACAAAACCAAATTGTGTATATATATATATATATATATATATATATATATATAAAGATTTGGATTAGCAAACACAACTTACCATTGGAACACAGGGCATTTAAATTTAATCTGAGTATATTTTGATGTTAATACACACACACACACACAAACACATATACATATATATATATATATATGACATTGTGGCAGGCTTATGAAATGTATGGTCATATGCTGTAACTAAACCCCCATTATTTTTTGCTTAGGTGAGGTGTTTTTAAATAAAACTATTACATTCTGTGAAACTTGAAATCGCTGTTTAGTGAGTAAGCAAGTGCGCTGGATTTTGTATGTTGTATAAATTGGCCCCAGGAGCACCCTATTATGTATGCATGTTTTTTTGCGTTTTTTTGCTCTCAGATCTATTTTTCCAGTTCTCTGCAGGCAAGAATATCACTCCAAGTTGTTTAACTTAACTTATTTTCCCTTTCTTTTTTGGGCAGGTATATAGTTAATTGCAGTTTATTTTTTAGGCCATAGCTAAATGTGGATCAATCTTCTTTGTCCTCCAAGTCCTCTACAATAGGTCATGAGCAAGATTTTTTTCTCTCTCTCTAATTTCTGAACTAATTGTTAAAGAGTGCACAGAGGGTACGGTCTGTTATGACTTCTGTATTTACGGCCCTCAAGACCGGTTGGGCCATGGATCTCCATCACTGAGAAGGGAGGGGCTGGCGGCCTGTCAAGGATGTAGAGCAAGGCATTTGGAGAATTACAGGCTATGCAGAAAATGCTTGGCCCAGACAGGGCCACCATCAGAAATTTTGGGGCTCCTAACATAGCTCATGATCAGAGCCCCCGGGGGACCGCCTCCCATTCTGCCCACAGGGGCGGCCTCAAAGTCTGTCCACACAATAGTGTGTGTTTTGAGGATGCTGTGTGTGTTTCTCTATTGGATGCAGTGTGTTCAAAGTGGACACTTTGTGTGTGTGTGTGTGTGTAGTGGATGTAGTGTGCGTATATTCTGTTTGTGTGTGTATATATATATATATATATATATATATGTATTAACATCAAAATATACTTAGAATCTAATTTTTATATATATATATATATATATATATATATATATATATAATTTTAATATATATATATAAAATTAAATGATAAACTTGGATTAGCAAACACAACATGCCATTGGAACACAGGGCAGATGGTTGCTGATAATGAGCCTCTGTACGCCTGTGTAGATATTTCATTAAAAATCTGATGTTTCCAGTTATTATACTCTTTTTCAACACTAACAATGTATACACTGCATTTCCATTCTTTTTGATATTACTTTAATGGAAAAAAGAAAATCTGCTTTTCTTTCAAAAACAACTACATTTCTTGTAACAATTATATTTTTTCTAACCCAAAAAATATTTTCTTAATTTTGCTTTTTCAGTTGTTTATTAGATAAGTCCCTAATTTGGTATCCTTAAGTATAGGAATTGTATGTAAGGGTAGCAAATTAGGAAACTATCTACTAAACTGCTGGAAGAGCAACATTAAGAAAAGTCATTTTGCTTTTTTTAAGTTTAGTAAGAAACTACTTAATTTGCTATCCTTATTAAAATGAATGTACCCAAAATAATTTGTTTTGAATAGTTACAAATTTGTTAATTTTCGTTTCAGTATGCGACGATTCAGAAATTTGAATGTTTCCGAATTGCCAAATTCAGATGAAACTCGATTCAGAACGATAATGACTTGCCCATGTCTAAACTGGATATTCCACTGACCATCTTACATTATAGGCAGGCTATTGTTTACTCTGCTATGTAGAGTATTTGAGTACGTACATTTGTATACTGTTTTTAATTAGTTTTTCCTCCTGTAAAAGAGATGTGGATTTTTTTCAGTGGGTGATAAGATGGTAGAGATCTGTGTGCCAATGATTATTGACCTATATCTGTGGTTGAAGTTGCATCAGTGTATTGATCCTGATTGTTGGATCCCCGAGACGACTATTTTTTGATTGTGTCATAGGATTCCATAAATCAATTTTGTGATATAATTCCACTTCTATTTTGTAATGATTTTTTTATTGTTTTTGAATTGTGCCTAAAAGGATTTATTGTAAAGCAAGAATTCCCCACAGTCTCAATTACCTTCTGGATACTGTGTAATATTGATTCATCTTTCTCTGTGTTATATTGTTTGTGGTTTACTTTTTGTTTTCATAATTGTTCAGAAGTGGTAGGTTTGTTCTGTTATTACACATTATTTCATATTATATGTGCAGTTATCTTCAATAAGGGGGTGTTTTACTTTCTCAATTTGCAATTTATGTGACTTGTTTTTCTCATTCATTTGTATTTTTTATTTAGTTTTTCCCTTATTTGATTGTTTTGTAAAAAAAAAAATTCAGAGGAAAGGCAGTGTTTACATTGCAGCCACTGGCGGATCCAGGGGGGGGGCAACGGGGCAATTGCCCCCCCCCCGAGAAATCCGCCGGTCTCCCTCTCCCTCCCCTGTCAGCCCTGCAATGTGCCTGCGGACCGGAGGGGAGATCAGAGATCTCCCTCCCCGGTCCGCAGGCACTGTGCTGACAGCCGGCGGCGGAGGGAGAGGGAGTGAAAGGGAGGACCCGGGAGCTCAGTCTGCAGCTCCTCCGGGTCCTCCTCTCGCGAGATTTGGAGCGTTGCCGCGGTTACCACGGCAACGCTCCAAATCTCGCGAGAGGGAACTCTAGCCCGGGAACCACGGGCTAGAGTTCACTGTAACCACTGGGACCACCAGGGAATCCCACTGGGACCACCAGGGATGAAAATATGTCCCCCCTCCTCCTCAATAAAGGTAAGAAGGGAGGGGGGACATAGAATATTTGGTTTTTATTAATTAAATAAATAAAGATATATATTATTTAAAAAAGCCCCCCTACCCTTAACACACACACATAGCCCCCATACTGCCCCCCCATACACACATATGCTGCCCCCATACACATGCCACCCCTATACACACATACATGCCCATACACACATATACTGCCCCCATACACATGCTTCCCCCATACACACACTATACTGCCCCCCATGCTGCCCCCCATACACACATGTTGCCCCCCATACACACACATACTGCCCCCCATGCTGCCCCCCATACACACATGCTGCCCCATACACACACACGCCCCCCCAGCTGCCCCCCCCCATGCACACATACTGCCCTCATACACACATACTGCCCCCATACACACACACTGCCCCCATACACTGCCGCCCCATACACACACATTGCCCACATTCACACACACACTGCAACTGTTACACACACATACTGTCCCACACATACACTGCATCCCTGACATACACTGCCCCCCCTACTCACACACTACAACCTTCACACACACACACACACACTGCTCACACACTGTCCCCCTCACACACACACACACACACACTGCACCCCTTACACATTGCACCACTCACACACACCACTGCTCCTATGCCCTACTACCGCCCCATTTCCCAGCAGACCTCAGGTAAGTTGTCAAACTGTTCTTAAACGGTTTGACTACTTACTCTAGGAGGGGGTCCCGGCACTATTGACACCATAACCACTACACTGAGCTGTAGTAGTTTTTGTGTCTGGATTATTTCTTTAAATAATCTACAAGTGCCCCTCCCGAGATCAGGCTCTGGATCCGCCACTGATTGCAGCCTAGTGACACCTCTACCGGCCACTTCTCAGACGACCACTAGAGGTTTTTCCTGGGACAGTGCTGCACGGAGACGCTGAACTTTCTCCATAGAGATGCATTGATTATACGCATCTCTATGAGGAGATTCTGATTGGCGAGGGCGGCATTCAGCTCTGCTCCATCCTGCCTCCTTGGCTGAGATTATCAGAATTGACAATCTCAGCCAATGCAATGCTTTCCTATGTGTTGTCAGCCAAGGAATTGGGATAGGGGTGGGGCCAACACTGTAGGACCTGCATAATTCTGGAATGAAAATTAGTTTTTATCCTCAAGGGGGGAACAGGGGGGCTAAATAGTTAAACACTAAAGGGTCACAAATACATGTTTATGCTCCATAACTAATAGTGTTCCTTTAATATATAAGTTATGATTAAATTATGTTATCTTAACTGCTTAGGACATTATTGTTCAAATGGTATAGATAATATTGCACATTAGGGAGAGATTTATTTTTGGAACGTTGGGTGGCCACACTTCGTCTAGGTGAAGATACTTACAATATAGGTATACAAAGTAGTGTGGTCATCTGGGGATTATCGTCCCTTTACAAAGGTTATTTGGGCTGACGGATGTATGACGTAGGAGACGATTGGGATGCTGAGTGGAGTAAGCTCCAGGAACTGACTGGCTGACCTCCCTTCCTGATCCAGACCGCCGTGACATAAAAACGACAGAGCACGAGGCACACTTTCCAGAGCTTCAAGTGGCACATGGTGGACGCAGATGCTGCTGGACCTCCAGTGAGACTGGACCTCCAGTGAGACCGGGGAGTGGGCGGACAGAAATAGAGACATCTCAGAGCACCAGCTTCGGAGTTTACTAAGCTAAGTAATAGCATTATTACTTGGCGGTCTGTGAAAAGTTTGGAGGAGTGGATGAAGGGAAGAGACGAAAGTAAAATAAAGGGGGAAGAAAATAGACGGAGGAAGAGCGAAGAGAGAAGGAAGGAATGAAGAAAAAAAAGACAAGCTAAAATAGGGGTGGTTTAACAGTACTAATCAATAGGCTGCAAAGCTAAAATTGGTGCTATACCACCCACTTGGGAGAAACTGTACACAATCAATTAATTCTCATGGCCATTGGAGAAACTAAATAACCTCCATTTGTTTAAATATGTATAGAGATATGGGAAGAGCGCAGGTAACTTTTTACTGTATGTATTGAGGCTGATGTTTACTATGGTCGTTGCTGCCATCCAGGAGTGATGGGAGTTTGAGCGCAGGACTTTTTTTTTTGTAATTGTAATCAATTAATTATATCTAAAGCAAAGTTGATTCAAAGCAATATCGCTTATTCTATCTATGATGTGATTTGTGGTCTGGTGGTAATACACAGATATACACCTTATCTTTAAAACTGTATATAGTGTTAAATTTACCTCTGTAAAAGGCCTGACACGTCAGTTTATATATCATCTGAGTAAATAATAGTAAATTCCTCTAAAAAAAAACAGCTACTTTAAAGACCTTATGCTTAACGAAGTTTTCATTTTGTTCCTGCAAGATAGCTGTGACATTAGAATAAGCAAAAGACCAGAGAAACAGTGGGCAACCTTATTAGGCCATTGGTCTGAATCTGTGTATATAGCAAACTCCTCTTTTTTCTCTCTCTTTAAATCTCTCCCTCTAATCTCCCTTAAATAATACAAAAATGACTACTAAAAACCCCAAGATGTTAAGAAGAAAGGGGAAAGAAAGAAACCACTACCAGAGAAAAAGTTGTCAGGATTTTTCCCCCTACTCAACACAAGTCAAGAGCGTAAGGAAGATATACCCAGTGCAAACTATAGCATGACTAAAGATTTACAAACGCATGTACCATTAACAGAATATCTACTAACCAATTATTTAGAGAAGTTCTCCAAAACAATTAGAGAGGATATCACCACAAGCCTTATGGAGATCAAACAGCAATTTGAAACCATTCAAGACAAACTATCTATAATGGAAGACAACTTTTTTCAAGATCTCTCATATTTCACTAGAGTTTGGAGAAGAATCTTTAACAAAATTTTGATTATTTTGAGACAAAATATCAGCTATAGGTGGGGTTTCCCCACTTTATTGAGAGTCAGTTGGAATGGTAGAATGGAAAATTGACTCTCCAGAAAAACTCGCTGTATGGATAAAAAACTCCAACATTATATGATGAGAGTTAGCAAAATGTGATTGAGATTAGTTTTTTTTCCCCTTCATCTCTCACTCTCTCTATGAACCACCTGCACAAATATACATGATTAAGGGTTTGGAGAGTTAAGCTATAAAAGAAAATAGACCTTAGTTGGGAAAACGGACAAATTAGTCATTTGTTACATATGAGTTTACAGAGGAGTTTACAGAGGAAACGGTTCTATTACAACTGTCAAAAGTAAAGACAAATAAGTCAATGGGGACTGATGGAGTACGCCCAAAGTTATTAAAAGAGCTTAGTGGTGTACTAGCAAAACCATTAACAGATTTATTTAACCAATCATTGTTAACAGGAGTGGTCCCAGAAGATTGGAAGTTAGTGAATGTGGTGCCCATTCACAAGAAAGGTAGTAGGGAGGAGTCAGGCAACTATAGGCCAGTAAGCCTTACTTCAGTAGTGGGGAAAGTAATGGAAGTAATGGAAACCATGTTAAAGGATAGGATTGTTGAACATCTAAAATCAGATAAAATTACATGATCCCATGAAGATCAGAGACAACATGCGTTTACTTCAGGGAGATCATGCCAAATTAATTTTATTGAATTTTTGATTGGGTAACTAAAATAAAAGATCAGGGTGGTGCAGTAGAAATTGCTTACCTAAATTTCAGTAAGGCTTTTGACACTGTTCCACATAGACGGCTTATCAATAAACTACAATCTTTAAGTTTGGATTCCAATATTGTTGAATGGGTAAGGCAGTGGCTGAGTGACAGGCAACAGGGGGTTGCAGTCAATGGAGTATATTGAAAGCATCGGCTTGTCACCAGTGGGGTACCTTAGGGATCTGTACTTGGACCCATTCTCTTTAATATTTTTATTAGTGAAATTGCAGAAGGTCTTGATGGTAAGGTATGTCTTTTTTGCTGATCATACTAAGATATGTAACGGGGTTGATGTTCCAGGAGGGATAAGCCAAATTGCAAATGATTTAGGTAAACTAGAATATTGGTCAGAGTTGTGGCAGCTGACATTTACTGTGTATAAGATAATGCATCTTGGACGTAAAAACCCAAGGGCAGAGTACAGAATATTTGATAGCGTCCTAACCTCAACATCTGAGGAAAGACTTAGAGGTATTTATTTCAGATGACTTAAAGGTAGGCAGACAATGCAATAGAGCAACATGAAATGCTAGCAGAATGCTTGTTTGTATAGGGAGAGGTATTAGCAGTAGAAAGAGGGAAGTGTTCATGCCATTGTACAGAACACTAGTGAGACCTCACTTGGAGTATTGTACGCAGTACTGGAGACCGTATCTTCAGAAGGATATTGATACTTTAGAGAGATTTCAGAGAAGGGCTACTAAACTTGTTTATGGATTGCAGGATAACACTTACCAGGAAAGGTTAAAGGATCTTAACATGTATAGCTTAGAGGAAAGACGAGACAGGGGGGATATGATAGAAACATTTAAATACATAGGGAATCAACACAGTAAAGGAGGAGACTATATTAAAAAGAAGAAAAACTACCACAACAAGAGGACATAGTCTTAAATTAGAGGGGCAAAGGTTTAAAAATATCAGGAAGTATTACTTTACTGAGAGGGTAGTGGATGCATGGAATAGACTTCCAGCTGAAGTGGTAGAGATTAACACAGTGAAGGAGTTTAAGCATGCGTGGGATAGGCTTATGCAGGGCTGTCTATAATATGATTAGGACCCTGGGCAATGCATTTTCTTGGGCCCCATGGGCCCTGTCCCTGCCACTGCCTCACCCCCCAATTACGTCCAACCCGCAATCACACTGACAGACGTACTGGCACATACACACACAGACAGGCATTAAAACATTCACAGATACATATACTGACACACAAAGTCACTACACACAAATATATACTAGCAGACATACTGACACACACACAGACATACATACATACACAGACACATACATTAACAGATATACTGACACACACACAAACACATACACTGACAGATATACTAAAACACATACACTGACAGACACATTGACACACACACACACACAGGCATACTGACATATACACAGACAGACGTAATGGCTGATACAGACAGAAATTAAACATTCACAGATATATACTGACACACACATACACTGACATACAAATATATCCTGGCAGACATACTGACACACACACACACACACAGACATACATACATACACACACAGACACATACACTGACAGACATACTGACTGACACACACATACACACACATACTTACATACACACATAGACATACTGACACACAAAGACATGCTGACACACACACACAGACATACTGACATACACACAGACAGACTGGCACATACACACAGACAGACATTAAAACATTCACAGATACATACTGACACACACATACACTGACACACAAATATATCCTGGCAGACATACTGACACACACGTACACACACACAGACATACTGGCATACACACAGACATACTGACACACACACATACACAGACATACACAGACATACACACACAGACATACTGACACACACACACACTGACATACACACACAGACATACTGGCATACACACAGACATACTGACACACACACAGACATACTGGCATACACACAGACATACTGACACACACACACACTGACATACACACACAGACATACTGGCATACACACAGACATACTGACACACACACAGACATACTGGCATACACACAGACATACTGACACACACACACACAGACATACTGGCATACACACAGACATACACACACACACACACACACACACACACACACACACACACACACACACACACACACACACACACACACACACACACACACACACTGACACACACACACACACTGACACACACACACAGACATACTGGCATGCACACAGACATACACACACACACAGACCTACTGACATACATTTAGCCACCCTCCAGGTTCTTACCTTTTCCTGGAGGGTGGTTTCCCTGGTCCAGTGGCAGGCTGAGGCAGATGGGAGTTCTCCTCTGGAACTCCCCTCCTCCCTGCCTTCCTCCTCCCGCGCGGCTATCTCCGGTGGGAGGAAGTGACGTCACTTCCTCCCAGCTGGCTGCAGAACCGGAAGAGGGGCCCGGTCGCGCTGTTTAAGCGCCACAGCGCCCGACCGGGCCCCTACTGACACATGCTCCCCGGGTGGCCCTTAGTGCATGGGCCACCCGGGGAGCCTCCTCAGTGTGCGGGAGCCGCACCGCAGGGCCTGCGCAAATCGCGGGGCCCACAGAGCAGCTGCTCTGGGCCCCCAGGAGCAACTGGGCCCGGGGCAGCTGCCCCGTTTGCCCCGCGTTAAAGACGGCCCTGGGCTTATGGTTATCCTAGCAATAAGATAATGCAAGTATATAGAAAATTGGGCAGACTAGATGGGCTGAATGGTTCTTATCTGCCGTCACATTCTATGTTTCTATGTTTTAGATATTAAGTAAATAAGGTCACTTAACTCTTCTCTGGAAGAGACAGTGAAATTAGGAATTGCTTCACAAGATAATTAAATGTTAATGAAGATTTAGTAGATAGCTACTCAAAAGAATGTGGGGAAGTCAAACAAATTTAAAGATCACTTTATAACATCTGTTCAGTCTATCAGAATTTGGGGAATTTCATAGTGACCGTACTGAGTTAAAAATGCGCTTAAGTATGTCTGATGAATAGGCTGTTTAGAATATAGTGCAATGGTTAAGTGGCATGAAATGCTCAGGAATCTAAGAATTAATTATAATTTAAATTTATATTGGTTCCTTGAGGGAGACATAATGACTGAATTATAATTACACAAATATAAAGAGGTCATATATAAAAAAAAAAAAATTGTGTGTGTGAACACGAGCACAAACCACAAATATATTGTCACGGCACTGCCGTGTACTCACCTGCCCCTGGGCACCCGTGACACCCTCGCGGCAGAGTCGCAGTACTCGCCGCTCCTGGAGACCCCTCAACCGGCATTCTGCACAAAGAGGAGGAGGAGAGCTACAGATCCATGAGGGAGGAACAGGTCAGGGACTATGGTGTAAAGCAAGATAGTGCCGAGTCCCTGACCTCTTTATATAGATCATGTGTGCTCCACCTACTGCTGGGAGGTGGCCGGTCATGTGATCCCAGCCACCGTTTTTAAACCAAGCACACCTTCCAGTCAGTGCTTGGTTATTTTGCTTGTCTCTATATACCTGCCTATTGCCCTGATTTTCAGCCTATGTGCCTGGTTCCTGATCCTTGATTCTCCGGTTGATTATTCCTGCCTGCTTCCTATCCTGACTACAGATTGATCGGCTACTTCTGTCAGCTGCCTGACTGCGATTTTCTTTCTCAGATTGATCGGCTACTTTTTTCGTCCCCTGCTCCTGTTTCCTTGGATTCTTCATTTGGCTTCTTCCCATTAAAGGCCTCCAAGCCACCACACACTCTTTGGGACCCTGAGGGTCGTGATAGTAAGGGAGTGCTGTTCCGCTGCAACTATGTTCCATCATCTCTGCAAATTCCCCAGGTGGGTGTGATATATATATGATTAGATCGAGAGTGTTGAGATTTAATAGAACATTGCGTGTGATATTAAGTAAAAGAAAAGTAGGAGAAAGGGGAGGAAAAGGAGAAAGGGAAAAGGGTCACTTAATTGTAGAGAGATAGCAAAACTAGGAATTTTTCCACAAGACACAATTAATTGTAAAAACACCCCTTCACATACTTGAACTTGTCTGACTGAGAGGCTTATTGAGAATATAGTACAATTACCAAAAGGCTGAATGCTCAGAATTATAATTACTCACCGTAACTATAACTAGATTGGGCCATTGAACAAGGTATTTTGACTGTACTATAACTACGAAAATTGCCTCAGAGGATGAAAGAGTGAAGGGCGACTTGCCTTTCCTCTAAACACTCTCCCCAGGTATACCTACAATGATAAAAAATAACTCATGGGGCACATATGAAATAAGATTTAAAACGTAAACATATCTTTATTAGATTCTATTTAAAAATGTCCATAGGCAAAACGTGGTGAAGTACGTGGAACACACGATGCTAGTGAGTTTAAAAAGGAAAGGCTTGATGCAGCCTAGATAGTCTCCCGTGTATATTTATGTGTAGCTGACTGTAAGTCGTTACTAATAAAATTGATCTATGTGAACAACATAATGATCAGATATCTACTTGGGGGATTGAAGTCAAAAGCTGGTAACTGGCAATATATTGCAATTAGTTAAATAGTCTCTCTTTCTAGGTACATAATGGGAGCTCCAAATAGTGTAACCTATATATATATAGAGAGAGAGAGAGAGAGAGAGAGAGACAACTTCAGGTAAATAAATGGGACTATATTCAGATAGCCTCTATCTTATATATATTGAACTTGTGTTAAATAGATGAAACTGTATTAACACAATCTTTCTCATGCCATGTTGTTATCAGTAGTGGTATAAAGTTTAGCTAAATCAAATAAATGAAAGCAGAAAATAATAATAGTAAGCTGTAAGCTAAACTTGCTTTCTACTAATTACTAACAGTTAGTGCTATTAATAGTAAGTTAAACTTGCTTTGAGAGAATATGTTGAATCCCTTAGGTAAATAAAGTAGAGAAATGGTGTAGCAGTCAAACCCAGTCTGTCTATCTAGACAGACACTATAAGTGCAGTTGTTAAAAGAAGGTGGATTGCCCAAATAGATGCTGAAAAAATCCTTAGGTACACACTATCTAACTACTTAGATATGCTGGAAAATATAGCAACCACCCCATCTAAGTAAATACTCATGTGAATACAAATGCCAGTAAGTGACAGCTCTAAACCAAGTTGCTGATCAAAGTAAAGTGACCAAATTTCTATGGCTGATAGATCAGAACCTGAAGCCCAAATAACTAACTAGAATCATCCCCAGGACCTACAGGAGACTAAAAGGCTGCATCAGAAACCTAACCTAATAGAAAAGAAAAAACGTCTAACTCGACGCGCGTTTCAGCGCTCTCAGGCGCCTTTTTCAAGAGTGTTTCCATGCCGGGTGCTCATCCGGTCTTTTAACCCCTTAAGGACACATAACATGTGTGACACGTCATGATTCCCTTTTATTCCAGAAGTTTGGTCCTTAAGGGGTTAAAGGGGCTTGGATCCGCCTCCAAAACTGTATTTGGTTATAGCCACGCCTAGTCCTGTGACGTCAGGCGGACAGAGGCTGAATAGGTACAAATAAGGGAACTCAAAGTAAAAAGAGCTCGGAGCCAAAAAGACTGGACTGCCCAAGGTAAAAATAGATTGTGTTTGAAATTAGCATCCAATTAACCCTTGGGAGTCAGAAGGTCTAAACCTTGGATTCAATATATTAATAAAAATGGAAACATCAATATAGAGTGATAGATGGTTTATAAGGATACAAAATTACCATATTACCAGTAAACTT